AAAAAGTAGAGCAGCAAGCCACATTCCCCAATACGCGCATACCTCGTAGTTAATTTCAAGTAGCTCATCAATATGTAATACCTGAAATTACCTCGATCAATGCATCTTACTAGGTAAAGCATTATACAATATACTAGGTCATCATGGAAGTTTAGAAAATAAGAAGAAAAAAAAAGAAAAAAAAAGTTTAGAAAATAAGGGCACTTATATACGTAAGGAAGAGAACCCATTCAGACGGGAAAATGAGATGGCAGCCTTTCTGCTTATTCACATTTATACAAATCATTTTGTTGCAGTTTGATGTTAGTTCTTCATGATAAGCCAATTGCTCTTCTTCCGGTGGCTTCGTGAGTCCCTTAAATTATTCAGTGAAAACAAAGTACTCGAATGAAACGGAGTGTTTTACACACTAACATATATATATTAAAGCTACATACACTTAACTAAAGGAAAGAAACCTTTAGAAAATGGACTGGATATTATTGAAAATATTATTCTAAACAAGAATGTACTACATGATTGTATTACTTTACGTTTCAATTTCACGAGAGAAATAGAACTCGAGAGAGGGAGCAGAGAAGAAGTGATGGAAATGAAAGAAGACTAATAGCATGAGAGGAAAGAAAAGAGCAAAGAAGACAAGAAAACGGTGTAAACAGGAAAAGGAGGAGCATGGGAGAGAGAGAAAGAGAGAGAGAGAGATAGACTTGAGCTTTGGATCAGCTAATGAGTAATACATGAAACAGATTTTGAGCGGCCAGTAATTATCTTTCGCCGGAGAACTTGCGTAAGGAGCTATAATTTTATTTTTTATTTTTTTAAATCAAACATTATGGGGAATAGCAAAAAACGGTTGTCTTCTTTGCTCTTTTCTTTCCTCTCATGTTATTAGTCTTCTTTCATTGAGGTAATTTCAGGTCTTACATATTGATGAGCTGTTTGAAATGTGGCTTGCTGCTCTACTTAAAAAAAAAAAAACTTCCCATGACATGTAATGAGTGTTTAGTGTACATTATGTGGGACGTACAGTGATAGATGGAAAGTTATTTCAGTATATTCGAAATGACTTTTAGGCAACTGCTTTTTCCTCCCACATCATCAACATTCATTCATTTCATTTCATTTACATAATTTCATGAAATGCATTCAGAAAATGAAGAAAAAAGAAAGAAACAAAAACAACCCGTGAAAAAAAAATATTGTCGGCGAAGCATTTGTCGTAGTACTAGTAGCATTTGTATTTAATGGGACACTTTTTGGGCGGAGCAAATGTCATCGGAGCAAATGTCACCGGAGCAAGTGTCGCTTCATGCGGAGCAAATGTCGTCGGAGCAATTGTCGGCGGAGCAAATGTCACCGGAGCAATTGTCGCTTCAGGCGGAGCAATTGTCGGCGGAGCAATTGTCGGCGGAGCAAATGTCGGCGGAGCAAATTTCGTCGGAGCAATTGTCGGCGGAGCAAATGTCACCGGAGCAATTGTCGCTTCAGGCGGAGCAATTGTCGGCGGAGCAAATGTCGGCGGAGCAAGTGTCGCTTCAGGCGGAGCAAATGTCGGCGGAGCAAATGTCGGCGGAGCAATTGTCGCGTTTTGCGGAGCAATTGACGGCGGAGCAATTGTCGGCGGAGCAATTGTCGGCGGAGCAATTGTCGGCGGAGCATCTGTCGGCGGAGCAATTGTCGGCGGAGCAACTGTCGGCGGAGCAACTGTCGGCGGAGCAACTGTCGGCGGAGCACCTGTCGGCGGAGCATTTGACGTCGGAGCAAATGTCGCGGAGCAAATGTCGCGTTTTGCGGAGTAACTGTCGGCAGAGCAATCGTCGGCGGAGCATGTGTCATGGAACCCATATAGAGTACCAAAGTGTGACGTCATATTAGCCAAGATGCCAAGGATGCTGGTTCCAAACCATTTTGTGCTAAACGTTGAATTTGCCCTCTACAGGAATTACACAGAAAATATAGAGCAAGTCCTCCCAATTCCAAAAATATAAAGTGGTTCAGTCATGTTCAGGCTAGCTCAGGTTCATGTACATGTACAGTGTACATGAACCTGAGCTTTGTACTATATACTGTTTGATTTTCAAATATTTTACTTAACATGAAAGTACACCTTTACATGTATGTACCATGTACACTGTATATACAACTATATATATTGCAGTTTTAATGACTTTCTCATTTTATGTTGCTTGTACAATGTAGTAGTTTGGCCTCATATTGAAGCATTTTATGGATCCTTTCAAGGTAGAAACTACAAGTACAGTACATGTACTGTATTTGCATTTTACCAACACTCAGATAGAAACCTACTGTATAAAACAAAAATTAAGTATCAGGAAATTTTCCATTTAAGAACAGTTCTTCTCACAGTCATTTCCAAAAGTGAAATATCAATTGTGTAATTGTACACTGAAGAAAATTGATCAAGAAATTGTGAATACATAATTTCCAAGGAGAATTTATGACTTTTTAAATGGTAAATACAAGTATGCTTTAAAACTAGTTCAACAAAATCTAATTACCATCTTTCTTCTTTTTTGGAGAAGAAATAATTCACTTAGGATTTCCTTTATTTGGTCATCATGCTTTTGTTTACGTACATGTACAATGTGGATTATACACATTCCTCACACAATAAATTAAGCACAAACCATGGGCACATCTTACAGTATGCATTAATAGATTTCATTGTCATTGTGAAGATCAATGTCTCCCTCTAGGTGTAGCTCTCATACATGTACATCTCTCATAACTGGTTTAACTAATATTCCTGTTCCAACGTCTAATGAGATAGCCATACATGCACACACACAGGTGGCAATTCAATACACAAAGATTGACATCATAATTATACTGTATCAACATTCAACACTGACACGTACTGCAATGACAAGGGCACCATTCAAATTGTCATACCAATGAGTAGGCCTACCGGTAATCACTTCCAGATTTTATTTTAAATGAGTTTTGTGTTTTAATAAAACCCATTATGTTCAATAGGCCACTGCAGGTGTAAAATCCTAAGGGTGACCTTTTATAACTTTCCATGAGCAGGAATTTCAAGATAAAATTATCAGTTAAAACAAAGCAAGTTACAGAGTATACGAGAATACACCTGGCGGTGGCCTGTACTTATATCAAAGAAGAAGAACAAGAAAATTGATAAAAATGTTGTCTGATTGAAATTGCTAGATAATAATCTACTGTCAACAAAATAGATTAGATCAAATGTAGATCTAAAATGATTTGGAAAATCAAGTCAGTAAATGAGTATGAAGTTATGAACCTTAATAGAGCCAAAGCCAATATCAAGGATTGCAACTGCGATGCCGCTCAATGTAACGTTAGATCTACAATGAAAATCAAAATAAAGGCTTAAACTTGAAGCAGAAAAAAAATTGTGTCCAAAAAAACAGTCACTATATTTGTAGATCTACAAGACCTCATAAGTAATATACAGTAGATCTAAACAAAACAAGTAAAAGTGAATAAATATATTAGTAATTTGTTACAACAACTAAGTATGACTCTAGTAAGTACGGTATTGGTGGTGTGACAATGAGTGTGATGTGCGACCATAGTTCGAGCTTGACCTTGCTTCGCTCTCTCACAAAATCTGAAACCACCATTGGAAAGAGATACTTAACAATAATATTACCTAGCGACAAAATGTTCTATGGAATCGGGTGTGAAATTATGAAAATATGGTGAATTTTGCAGTCTTTTGCGTCCGTCCCGAAAAAACATATGAACCTACCGACAAGGGTCTGGAAATCTTTTTGAGAGCAGATGTCATGTAAAAAGTGGTACCAACTCATTGTATAGTTCGCCTTGCAAAATATGCAATTATCTTAAAGGTAAAGACCAGTATTGGAAACGCCCCAATTTCAAAAAATGAGATGGAAGCTCTTATTACCATTTACCAATCATGTGAAAGAATATGTTTTGACTAATACATGACGATAAAACTTTGCCGGGAAACCGCCAACTAATTTGGTAAATTAGTTTATTTACTGGGATGTGAGAGATAATTGGCGTGTCCCATATTCTGTGTACAGTGCTTGTAACTTTACGAAGACTGAGCCAAATTTCTTATCATTTTGATGATTCCAGAACCTTGCAGTACACACCGATACAACCTTTTCTGATCGATTCCACAACGTTTCTTTCAAAATGCAATCACATGACCATAACTGGTCTTTATCTTCAACTTAAAGTCTTAAATAGACCTAGAGCCTATAGAGGGTCTAACCGTCTATATTTGATTGATCACTTTTTGTGATAAATCAGATGTAAACTTCAGTGTGCGAAACGCTGTGAATCAAGGTCTTCTTTTTTTCATGAATTTTTCTAAAAATGCAGCGCATTCTGATCTGACATCAAATTTTGAGATCGCGATATCTTCGAAATTTCTTCGACGATAAATTTTCTATTTGCACCGATTTGTAATAAAAACCTTGCACTTGCGGTCAATTTGGTAATAATTGAACTAAATTTTGTGTAGAATATGAGAAATCATGGATCGAATATCACATTTCCTAATACTTAAAGTACGAGTAGACTAGACCTCATATCTTTCAAAATATCTGTGAACTTTTGTCACCCAATGCCAATTTGTCACCGTCATTACACTGTCCATAAATAAAAATTTGATTCCTCCATAGACTAGGTCTAGGCCTAAATAGTAAATGGCAATAGGCCTAGTAGTGGGATATAGCAAAACTAGTACTCATGGGCAATGTGGAAAAGCTAATTTATGACTAGCCCTAGACCTTTGACTACAAATCTACTCTCTTAAAGTACTAAACGTATAGCCTGCCAGCACGGCCAGCTGCCATGTCATGAGCATGACCATAACTGTGGCCTGCGCTGGCCTAATCGGTTGGCCTGGCTCCAGCTCCAGCTAGCTCGCTGTTTGATCCGCTGTGCTTACCATTCATTCATCAGGTTGATGCAAACGAAACTCACTTTCAGGTTTCACACACACTGATCGAGGTACCTACCTTTTTAAGGAACTAATGGTGCTGATCTGGCGGTCAGGTTGTCGTCAAAATTGGGGTTTTTCAAGCTCGAATACTGTATACGTATTTAAAATATCAGACGTTAGTGCCTCGTAAATGAAAAAGGGTAATTTGATTAATTCCTTGAATTCAGAGAAACTCCAAATGGGCGGTCCAACAAACATTTGCTGCAATGCATCTGACGCATGAGGGCGACAAATCAATTTAACGGCGGCGCCGAAAACGAAATCTACACAGATAGGCAGTGCTGTGTTGCTAACACGCAGCCTATAGCCAGAGCTAGCCCGTTCCCCTGTCGCGCCCGGGCCCCTAGCTTGCGATTTCGTATAGGTATAAGCTTTCAGCTCGCAGCTAGCTAGCTAAATACTCGAATCTAGCAGGCACAGCTCACCTCAGTTCTTCGCAAGGCCAAGCTAAAGTGGAGGAATTCAACAACAAGAGTAAGAAGTTCATTGTCACCTCAAGTTTAACACTCGAGAAAAGAACGAAGAAGTCATAATTATCAGAAGAAGGCACGCTAAATTTGAATTTTGAAGGTATCCCCAACGTCATTCAACAAAGTTATCTGATCTTTGTAGCCTTCTTTTACTAATTTTGACCACATCTGATTCTGATCGAGCTGAACTGACTGTTTATGCACTTTTCCGGTATTTTCGAGTGAGGTAACTTTAACTTAATGTTTAATGAATAGGTCTAGGCCTAGATCTATGCCGCCTATTATATAAGACCAAAGTTTCTGTCTCTTTCATTCGTTAGCCTCTGATTCGGGGAGGGTCGGCTCCTCTCTTTAGAGCCGATCCTACCCAAAATAATCAGAGGCTAACGAACGAAAGAGACAGACATTTCGGTCTAAGGTCTAATGTGACTAAATAAATTAAAGGTTTCCGTTTACACTCATCAACAAAGCTCTGTGGTCATCTGGATGCAAGAAATTCAAGACTCGCATCTCTGAAACTTTGTCTTTGATTTTGATTTATCTTTCATGATGTTCTTGCTCAATGGCATGTTTTCCATACTTTTTGAGGGGTTAACATTAAATAACAAGTATCTGCTGCCACACACAGACTTCCGGTACATACCATTCACATACCATTGAATTTGACCTTGTGCATTGTAGGCAGAGATGCCAAGTTCAAAGATCTGCAATGCGTGACATTTTCATTATTCGTGCGAGGGTATAACACGCGTATAATGAGGTATACTGTAGCATTTTTTACAAATCTAACGCGCGCGTCGTGCGTGAGAGCGTTTTCAGACCCTCGAAATGCGTGATGTCATGCCTAATGCGTGGCACTTGGTAGCTCTGTGTAGGAGTATTAAATGTGTTTGACTATATGGCTTTGAGTTTGAGTTATGAGTGTGATTGTGATGGTGCATTTCTTAAATTTTTTATTTTTTTATTAGGGCCTATATTATTCTTTTTTTTACTAGTCTACCCAATTTCAAGAACCTGTAGAGATGAGACCCGAAAGACCCTGGGCTAAGTTTGGGGCCATTAGCCCAGCCCATAAGGCATTTGGGCAGTTATAACCAATACCATGTCACTTTGTCAGCGTCGGCCATCATATTCGTAGTTCATACTCGTCTCTATGTGCAGGTATTCAAAATTGGATAGCAAAAAAAAAATTGTCAAATTCTAGAAGGAAAATAAAATAAAAAAACTAGTGCCTCGATCCCTTTACAAAGGAAGATCTTGATAATGACTGAAGGCTGTAGCGCAGATGTGGGCTATTAAGTCTGTTCTGTTTGGAAATATGCTCTGTTGAGAAAGTGGCCCGAATTCAAAAAGGAGGTTTGTCGACAAACCAAGGTTTATGTGTGTCATATGACGCGTCTCGACCCATTTCAGACCAAGGTTTGACTGAACTTTGGTCTGAAATTTGGTCTGAAATGCATCATATGACACACATAAACCTAGGCTTGTCGACAAACCTCCTTTATGAATTCAGGCCAGTATGTCTGCCTCAGCCACATGTATGAATGCATAATGAGAAAATGATTAGATTCTACTTACCAATAAGTATCCAATTCTCTATCTCACCTTCCATAGATGCCTTTGTAAATCTTATTTAGATTCCTGTCTCGGAAGAAAGAAAGAACATTATTGTCAAGATGCCTAAGGTTATTAAGAAGACATCAAGCACAGGCAAGAAATCCCAACAGAAGGCTTCAACGTCAAGATCACGAATTCGCAGCGACAGTCCTATCGTTAGGACAGCTGTTAATGTCAGCCAGGTAATACATGTATTTATAGATAAAAATTACACAAGGGAGATGAAAATTGGTCTTGTTTTGGGGCAGTTCATGTTTTTGGACCTTGTGATAGATTAGCTTGATTGCTAAGCAAATTACCTAAGAAAGTACATGTAGTCTAAGTCTACTACTACAACGACTACTACTACCGCTGCTGCTACTACTTCTACTACCATTAATTGTACAAGTTTCTTTAATACATCTTTTAATGACAAACTATTTGGTCGATGTTTCAACCAAATAAGATTTTTTTTTTTTTTTTTTTGGGGGGGGGGGGGGGTTACATGTTTTATGCAGATAAAATGCAAGTTAGAATTTTTAACTTTGTGAACATAATGTGACAACAGTGACATCTTTCCTTTTTTTCTCTCCCTTTGTACAGATTTCCAAGTCCAAAAGAAAGAAAGCACAAAACGGTGATGGTAAGTCCCTTGAAGCTAGAACTTCTCAGAGCTCCTTCTTCTCAGAGCTTTATCCAAACATGTACAGGACCTTGCCCGTCCATCTATCATTTCTTCAATTCATTTCCATCTATACCTGCAGTATGCTTTTCTTGTTTTGGTGTCTTCACATGCCTGTCTTACCGGTATTAGGAGTTGTCAGTGATTACCAATCCATTGCAACTTCAAAAATCTATTGCTCCTGTGTATTAAAGAGATAGGGGTTTGATTGGAGGATCTGAGATCAATCATGATCAGTCACAGCTCAAGACAGGCAGCAGAAGTAGAACATTGTATTTCCTGTTTAGTGGCAGGGGGTGTGGGGGGGGGGGGGGGGAGAGATCTTATTGAATGGATGTATTGCAAGAGCCAGTTGTAAGAATTCACTGACTTGACTCGACAACACCCTTCTGATTCTCAGAATAATTATATTCATTTTCTCTTGGCAATCAGGTGACATGTTCAAGGAAGATAATATACAAGGATTTTTTTTTCTTTTTTTATTTTGCCTTCTTACTTCTTTCTTCTGTTATCTCTTATGTTTACCATTTGATTTAGGGGCATGTTCCCCTATGCCATTGACAGGAGTTTGGTTTTAACTTCAACTAAATATATATATTGTATATATAAAACCAGATAAAATAATTCAAAGTATATTCAACACTCTTCATAACAAATTAAAAACATACAAATACAGAATGGAATGATTTTTTTTTAAGTGGAGAAAAAATGAAATAATTTATTAAAAAAATCTATTTAAAAAAAATTGTGAAAAAAGAATTGAAAAATTGAAAAAAGAATGAAATGATTATCATTCATAATAATATAACTTTATTCAGGTGAAATGTTCAAGGAGCGCACAGTATCTGCAAGGACCTTCTCACATTGGAAACCCATCACTAAATCATCTCAGGCTTTACTTGTTCAAACAATCGACAGTGCCATCATGTGAGTATAGGGGACTCAACACAATTTAAAGAATTTTTCTTTCTACAGCAATTTTTCTATTTCACCAGTATCATTTCTCATGATCATTGTGCACCACTGTCGTTACCGTCATCACGTTTATTATCATCATGATGAATCTCATCACAACCATTAACAACTTTGTCTAATAGGGTTCAACTGCAGATGATATCCAAAAAGATTAAATGATTGATTTTATTAACAGAGAAAGGGGAAGGGGGGGGGGGGGTAATTTAGTCTGAAATTGAATGTAATGCAAGTCCTTTAAAGCATTTTTATAACCCAATATTATTGAAAAAAGCTTGTCAAATGATATTTCCTTTTTTACTTTGTTGGGGTCTTTAAGGCAATCCCCAATCCCCCTTGCAACGTTGATGTTGTCACGGAAAAACAACAATTTAGCTTACTGGTTTTTATGTCTCGGCTCAAAGAGAACTTTATTCAACTTTTTCATGGTGTACCTGAATTCCAAACACCAAAGGAAAAGCTCACCCTCGTCAGGGTAACATAATTCTTAATTCTCATGTGACAGCTGTCTATCCTTGTAATGACGACTTGAAAATCTTTGATACATTTCAGATCGGTGCTTTCTGAGACAAGCTCTGTGGCATATTCAGATGTGCGAGATGTTCTCAATAGTCTGAAGAAAAGGTAAGGAAAGAACAACTACGCCATATCAATGCTAGGAAGCTGGATGAAAAGAAAAAAAGGAAAAATAAATCTGTTGTTGAAAAAGGTTGAACAAGGCTGAACAAAATTGGACAAAAACTAGAAAAAAAATTATGCTTGAAGTTGATAGTTCTAAACATACAGATATGTGAACCTCATTTGACTTGATCAAGAACAACTTTCCCATTTGCCTCGTACCAAAATAGGATTTTTTTTTCTTTGAGAGATATACCCAATAATATAACATGGATGGCTCAAATTTTGTTTGAGATTATTCTGACCCAAAGATCTTTCAGTCATAACAAACATTTATTAGTCAACTTGCTATTAAGGGTGGATTGCCCTTTTTCTAGTTCCTAACATTAGACAACTGGAATTTTGCTTTTATAATTTCTTTACAGGATACTGGACAAGTCCAGGAATCTGAAGGCTCCTGCAACTAAACGCCCTAAATTCAACACACTAGAGGCCGCTTGTGTGAGTTTCATGCTATCTTTATTTACTATTTTGTTTATTTTGATTGAGTTTTCAAATGTCTGTGGGTTTAGCTAGGAATAAATGCTTACAAAATAGTTTTGATCTAGCTATAGACCCCTACTTTATGAACTTGAACTGTGTCAATATTTTAGATGTAGTTAAACATTAATGAATTTTTCCTTTGATTTAGCGATTCATTCTAGTTATGGCCTGATGGGTATTACCATATGAAAGACACATATTGAAAGCTGTGTTATATAGATATGTTTCACGTTTTTGGATTTAGCTAACATGATTGCTTCTATTGTTCTAGACATTAACGGTTCTGTAGCAGTTCTCATCATTCCATAGTTATCCATTATCTACTGCTTCAGTATTCCAGCCATCTCATGACTATTGCTCCTGTTGTTTGGAGTTCATTTTGTACCCTTTCAAAACATCTATTCAGTGTATGCTAGCTTATTTAATTGATCACTTCACAATAATAAAGTAGGCAGGCGCGGATCCAGGATTTCTTAGGGGGGGGGGCCCAAATTTGAAATTTTGCGAGCCAAATATTGGTACGTATAATGGTGACCAACAGTAACGTAATGTGGGGGGGGGGTCGGTGCAGGGAGGGGCGAGTTTCCCCCTCCCTCCTCCGCGAAACGCGGAAGCTTTGACGTTTCATTAAATTATAAGGGAAAGAAGACGATTCGTTGTACCGTTCTCGAAAAAAATTCTCGTCTGAATTAAGTTTTTCACCTCCCGCGCGAAGCGCGGGAAATTTTACGATTTATTTAACTATTAGAGAAAGAAGACGGTTCGTTGTGGAGTTATCGACTCTTGATCCTCGTCTGAATTCAGGTCCCCCCCCCCCCCTTCGCGCGAAGCGCGGAAGCTTTTAAGTTTCTTTCAATCATTAGAGAAAGAAGACGATTCGTTGTACCGTTTTCGAAAATAATCCTCGTCTGAATTAAGATTTTCCCGCGCGGTAGCTTTTACGTTTCATTAAATCATTCGAGAAACAAGACGATTCGTTGTACAGTTCTCGACTCTTAATCCTTGTCTGAATTCAGTTTTCCCCCTTCCGCGCGAAGCGTGGAAGCTTATACGATTCATTAAATCATTCGAGAAAGAAGACGATTCGTTGTACCGTTCTCGACTCTTAATCCTTGTCTAAATTCAGTTCCCCCCTCCCCCTCCTGCGCGAAGCGCGGAAGCTTTGACGTTTCATTAAAATATTAAAGAAAGAAGACGATTCGTTGTACCGTTCTCGACTCTTAATCCTCGTCTGAATTCAGGTCCCCCCTCTCGCGGCAGCTTTGACGTTTCATTAAATCATTAGAGAAACAAGACGATTTGTTGTACAGTTCTCGACTCTTAATCTTCGTCTGAATTCAGTTTTCCCCCTTCCGCGCGAAGCGTGGAAGCTTTTACGATTCATTAAATCATTCGAGAAACAAGACGATTCGTTGTACAGTTCTCGACTCTTAATCCTCGTCTGAATTCAGTTTTCCCCCTTCCGCGCGAAGCGTGGAAGCTTTTACGAATCCTTAAATCATTAGAGAAAGAAGACGATTCGTTGTACCGTTCTCAACTCTTAATCCTTGTCTAAATTCAGTCTCCCCCCTCCCCCTCCTGCGCGAAGCGCGGAAGCTTTGACGTTTCATTAAAATATTAAAGAAAGAAGACGATTCGTTGTACCGTTCTCGACTCTTATTCCTCGTCTGAATTCAGGTCCCCCCTCTCGCGGCAGCTTTGACGTTTCATTAAATCATTCGAGAAACAAGACGATTCGTTTTACAGTTCTCGACTCTTAATCCTCGTCTGAATTCAGTTTTCCCCCTTCCGCGCGAAGCGTGGAAGCTTTTACGAATCCTTAAATCATTAGAGAAAGAAGACGATTCGTTGTACCGTTCTCGGCTCTTAATCCTTGTCTAAATTCAGTCTCCCCCCTCCCCCTCCTGCGCGAAGTGCGGAAGCTTTGACGTTTCATTAAAATATTAAAGAAAGAAGACGATTCGTTGTACCGTTCTCGACTCTTAATCCCCGTTTGAATTCAGGTTCCCCCCCTCCCGCGCGCAAAGCGCGGAAGCTTTGACGTTTCATAAGCTTAAGAGAGAAAGAAGACGATTTGCTGTACCGTTCTTGATTCTTAATCCTCGTCTGAATTTCAAAGATATCCTTTGTCTGCTCCTTTTTCTTCCTACGCCCCCCCCCCTGGCTACGTGCCTGCGGTCCGATAAACACATTTTGATACCTTGTCCGACCCCGCAAGGTTTAAGGCAATAAATTACGGTCAGATGAGCATTCAGGGGCCCGCCTTAGGGCCCCTGGTGGGGTCGAGACGGCGGAGCCGGCCCCGGAAGCTCAGGGGTTTTAGGCGTTTAACTAAGATCAGATGAGCATTTTTTTTGTATACCTTATTATTTTGTGACACTGGCAGGACACTATTGGCGTGGGGTACAGGGGGCAGAGCCCCCCAAAATCAGGGGTTTTAGGCATTAAATTACCGTCAGATAAGCATCTATGGGCCCGCCGTAGGGCCCTATAGGTGGAGTCCATGGGGGCAGAGCCCCGGAAGCCTAGGGGTTTTAGGCATTTAATCCCGGTCAGATGAGCATATTTTGATGCCTCATTATTTTTTAACACTGGCAGTTAACTATTCTCTCTTTCTTGCTCTCATTCTATTTTATTTCTCTTTAATATACTTTTTCAAAAAAAGTGTAGGGGGGGGGGGGGGGGGGGGAGGGAGCTCGAGGCTCCCGATCCCTGCCGTACCTCGGGCCCTGACATGTAGGAATCACAAGAATCATTTTTCATGCCTTGCTGTAAATTTAGGAATTTGTCATTTTCCAACAAACACATACAAACGTATAATTTACTAAAAAGTGAGGAAAAATCTCGGAAATTAAGTAATTTCAGCATTATTTGTAATCCACCGTTGTGGAATTAGAAATAAACCACGTTTGAATTTGATTTCCCCCAAGCCCCCCCCCCCTATCCGTACGCCAGTATCTCCTCTTTTCCTTTTTTCTTTCCCTTTCCTTCCTTCTCTCTTATTTTTTTGATTGGAGGGGGGGGGGGGGGGGGGGGGGTCAACAGCATGGGAGGCAAGGCTCTTTCGGCCCCCCCCCTCCCCCCGATCTCCTTCTTTCCCCTTTTCTTTTTTTCTTCCTCTTTTTTCTTTCCCTTTCTCTCCTCTTTCCCTTCCCCTTCTTTTCCTTTCTTCTTCTCTCTTTTTTTTTTTTTTTTTTTTTGCGGGGGGGGGGGGGGGGGGCCAAGGCCCGCTCGGCCCCCCCCCTGGATCCGCGCCTGAAAGTAGGCCTCACAAATAAACCAGAGAAGAATTACATTGTCTGTTGTGATGTGGCTCACAGCTACATTGTAGGTATAAGTACTTTTTTTTCATGCTTCTTGGTGTTTTGTATTTCTTGTAGCAAAAGTTAGAGAGTGAAGTCGTAGAAGCGTTAAACCAAGAGGAACAATTATCAGAGATGGTGGAGCAGATGACAAGGTAAGAAGCAGGACAAGGATATTAACCCCTTGACTACTGAATTCTGTGACTACCATAGGCTTAATATAGGGACCACCCAGTTTCCATGGGCAACGGGTTAACAACAAAAGGTGTATGGGAGGGGTGGTAGGGGGCTGTAGACACATCACATGTCAAGGAGCAACTTTCAGAAATAAATGGTTAAAAAAATGGCAAAGTAAGAAAATAGATATACAGTCAAAGCTGTCTATAGCAACGGCCCAAGGGAACTTAAAAAGTGGTCTTTGTATACAGGCTCCTTTAGTACATGTTTCAATAAGAAACCATTTTCAAGGGAAACTAAAAATGTGGTCTTTGTAGACAGGTGGTCACTAAAGCAGGTTTGACTGTATAAACCCTGACAGGCTTGGGAGGGAGGAACTACTGTGAGAAATGGTAGATAACAAGCTTGGAAAGTGTCAGAGAGAGGCTTTGTATTGTACGAGGGAAATTTAAGAAAATTACTGTATTTCAGGTATTGACAGTGAATGCAGTCGTATTGTGTGCTACTTTGGCTTGGTCATATACATGTACATTTCTCAAAATATAAAGGAAAGTTATTATGCCATGAATTTGATTATTGCTACAATTGTTTTAATTTTCTATCTCTGTTCTTTTCTCTCTGTCTCTTCCTTCCCCTCCTCTCTCACTTACAGGACAGTGCAAGAAAAGGAAGAAATCTTGGAGGAACTTGAAAAAGCTGCCAGCAAAACAAAGAAAAAGTCCCAATTATGATATGTTACAGAGTTTATGTTTAACATTCTAAAACTAATATTTAAATACCTATGAGCACAAAGTTTAAAAAATAGAAATTCATACATGTAGGTCACATGACTTGAAAAACTTGTATTAACAAAGTAATATATATGAGTACATACTACATATACATGTATAAACACAAACGATCAGTAATTGATGGTGGAATGATAAAAATGGGTCACAACAGATTTGACAGGCGTAGATATGTAGTTAATTTAAATTCTCTCACAGGATGTTCTCTGGTCACGGTAGATGCATGAATGGGATTATACAGGGATACTGCTTAGATGGAGGAGGGGAGTATTACAGCATCTTCTTTTCTCATTCCTCCCCCTCTCCCTTTCTCCCCCCTTCCCCTTTTGAACTCCTCCTCTGCCCCCTTTCTCTCTCCCCTTCTCTCTCTCCCTCTCTCTATCTCTCTCTCTCTCTCCCCTTATTACTGATTTCTTTCCTTCTTTGTTTTGTCATTCCTTCCCTACCCCCCTCAAACACTGCTATGCCACAGACTGTCACAAGAAGTATGTTAGGAATGTAGACTTGTTTGAAATAAAATGTAAAAACTAAAATAGAAGTAAAGGAAAATAATTTAAGCAAACTAAAATGTAAATATGATGACCTGCAATTGCATGGCATTTTCTTTCATCCTGCTTTGTGAATAATGTACAAATGTCCATGTCTCTGTGAATTGTATTGTATTATGTGTAGATTTTGTATATTAAAATATAAGACTGTACATTCAAATAATGAAGTCCTCTGTGTTTGATACATTTCACTGATGTTGGTGTCATTCAGTCTTTTTTTTCTGTAGATGTTTTTTTAACTTGAAAAAATTATTAAGCAGAGAGATGGCTCCAACCCTCAAAGGGTTTTACCAAAATCTTACCAAAAAAAAGGTTATGAATGTGTGCGTGTAAATGCAATGAAATTGACCGATTGATTAGGAAAATTTTTAAACTTAAAAATAAATAACGCCAAGGCTTCATTATAGTACCATTTTTAGTTCAGTATTGATAGAGGGAGTCCAAATATTCTCTAATCCAAAAGATAAAAAGAAGAGAGAAACAAGAGACACGGAGATAAATAAAGATGAAAGAGAAACTTAAAGAGAGGTTTACCATATTTTCAGGTGTACTTTAGGTATCTGTCAGATTGGGTTTTACTAGAAACCCGACTCCTTGGTGGTGGCACTTCAATTTTTAGGGATGTTCGCAAACATTATTTGGTTTGAACCATTGACCTCCTAATATCAAGACCCTTGCTACATCCTCTGAAACTCCCAAACATTAAGAATCAAAATCTCACACTTGAAGTTTTAAACAGACAAACGGACACACAAAACATTAGAGCAACGAGCAAGAAAACATTTTAGTTTTGTTTTTCATTTAATAAGCACAAAATATATATGCCATTTTCATATATAATCATAATTGACAAAGTGGACAGTTTGTGTGGGAGTTGTCATTGAATTGTGTACAATTAACAAGACATTATACAACAGGTATATGATCACAAGTAAAATCAAAATGAATAGGATATTGATTATCCTGTATAAATACTAAGGATTTATACACTAGTCACCTCATTGGCATTTAAGAGGTGAATCACCAATACATTAACTGATCTTCCAAGAGATGAGTGCTACAATCAAAATAAATGTACATGTAATTGGTTTATCAAATTTAAATGATTTTGAACAGGAAGAGACTGATGAAGTGAGTTATAACTGAAAAATACCACAGCACGATATCGATGAAAGAAAACTTAGATTTCAAAATAATTTGAGCATGATTTTTTTAATCTGACACCCATAACTGAATTTCCAAAGCTTTTAACCATGAAGTAAATTTGTAGTTATTAATAATAATTGGAATTACGATGCACCTTTTCCAGAGGAAACAAGGTGCTGTCCTCTATTCTATAAAGAATTGTAGAGGTATGTTTTCAGATGTTTATGAAGAAGTTAAGTGAAGTAATATTTCTTAGAAATGCAGGATGTTTAATCCATAGGTGTGGGGGTAATGAATTGAAAGGATTTGAATGAAGCCTGCCTCTTTTCACTCCTATATTTCTCTGTCCATATGACTTTCAATTTTCAGGATTTGGTTTGTAATTTTGGTAAATTTAAATCAATAACAAGATTAAAGGCAGTCACAGCTCTGTCACACAGAATCTCGATGTCTTGAACAAGAATGAAAATGTGAAGAAATTGAACACTTGAACCAAAAATGAGTCACAGAAACCAATATAAGACAAACTAATATATGACTTGAGATTGAATCATAGGTTGTACATCGAATGAAGGAATCTGCGATTTGAGAAAAGTTACACAAGCAGGAAAGCATTGATTGGACAGGTATTTAGTGCTGAGCTGAGAAATTACAATACGTGTCTACCTTATACAAATACACATTATCAAGGACCCAAACAATTAATCCACACTCTTGCATATCAAACAAAGCATATTCATATTAAACATTTTAAAAATACATAACGATACTGTAGGTATATAGTTCTGGCAAGTTGTACAAATTATCAATTTCTTTCCTTTCCTGTCTTCTAATTCATTTTCAATTCTACAAGTATATACAATAAATTGTACAATGAAGATTCTGAACCAGTAGCAATGGCCCTGTACATAAATATATATATTCACATTTTGTACAATACATTTTCTACAACCTTGTACATACATGTATTCTACAATCTAACAAAGGTCAAAGTTCTACAGTGCAGATGGGCTTCTTCATGTACTTCCATTAAGTATCTTCACTACATGTACATCTGGAGAAAGAAAAAAAATCATCTCACTCTGTATCATACCAAAACATAATATTTCAAATTCTCTAAATCCTATGTACGTTCTCTTATTTTGTAACCAAACATAAGAAAAAGAAAAGAGAAAGAAAGAAAAAGTGTGTTCATACAGCATAGTTCATATTATCTGCTATTCTGAAAATAACTATAACCTACATGTATTAGCCTGTATCCTGTCATTTATATGTTTAAGGCATGGGTCATCAGTTCTGTGGGTCCAGACACATTATACAGTTAACAAATTAATTATTCATACCACTTGTAAATTTGATTTTGATTTTGATTTTTGCCGCAACTCAGGAATGAAAAAGATGAATTAAGGACTTGGTTGAATACCTTCTAATAGATGTAAGCTTTAATTTGTCACATTTTCAAGAAACATAAATCAGGCCAAATCAATTTTTAACACAATTAGAAGAAATTACAAAACTTGGTATGGGTATGAATAATTTAGTTGTTAAATGTAGGTGCTACTGAGCTCTTGCCATTCTAGTGGAATGATGTATAATGCTAGTATTACTTGGAAGGTTCTTCTGGACCATCTTAGCTCATCCAAACATTTCTATCTTTCTCAACCTACTGTACTGTACACCGTTTTAAAATAAAACCCTGTTCTGATAAACAGGAAGGCAGTCATGATTTCAAATAGAAGCAGTAAATGTGTTGGGCAGTATAATATGAAATTGACAAAATAAGAGCAAATAAATGCAAGCACCATAATCCAGCAGTGGTCATTAAACTTATTACTGTAACAATGATTGAAATCTACTGATGAAATAAGCCTGCATTGTAAGACATACATGTACATACCCCAGGGGGTCACTCTCATACACAAATGCTACCCACCTGTGTCCATCAACATCTGAAATGGACCCTAATGGCGTATCACATTTTTTCTAAAATGACCCCTTTTTTAAGAAAGCGTCAAAACCTGTGAACCTGAAAAAGTACCCTTTATTTGTTTTTTGTGCGATCAGTGCTTGAAAAACGACCCCTTTTTAAGGAAAACGTTGACAACGCCGCCCTATAGCTGAAAATGACACCCTTTCGTCACTTTTTCTGGACACGGGTGCTTAGCAAGTCATGTTGGGAGTGACCCCCCTGGGGAACATACAGGTTGCAGTTGTGTTATGATTGCTAGAATATGTATTTTTAATAAAAACAGAAAATGAAGTTCCCCTCTGTGGTAAGCTACTTTGTTCAGACCACAGACCTATGCAATTTATTTTCATGTAAGCAAGACTCCCAATTCTCATTACCCCATTCAATTGGTAATTTCTGTACTTCCGGTGTAATGGCTTGTTGTATCTTGGCTTGCATACCATCTACTACAAAAGGGAACTATGTTGTAACTCAGAACAAACTTTTGCAAAAGTAATACAAAATTAATCTAGAAGATAAGTACAATGAATAAAATCCTGCTTTCAACACACACATTTTCCATTCTCCTCATCATTACTGGAATACATAATTACGCCATACTCTTGATGTCTTTTAAAAATAAAGCTCACTTCTTTTTCTCATTACCATACTGCACTGCTATGGAGAGCTTCCATTAATCTTCTTGTAATTTTAAATAAATTTTCTTATATATATGTCATTTGATTCATTGAAATTCTAGATTCATTAGAATTGTAAATTGTAATAGGTGCAGAAGCATATCTACAAGTCTTTAAATAGGGAAATGATTTGAATAAATATAGACATCTGGTGCTAGATGAGTGCTACCTGTTGGAAGGTTGCTTCTTTCTCTTGAAGCTGCTCCGATGATGAGGCCTGGCTTGGACGTTCCCGGTCAAGCTGGTAGAGGTCAGCATGGTCTGATGGTCAGAGCAGTGCCGTAGCCGCTGGGTTGGCACTGCAAAGAGCTGAGCACTGTGAGATGATGAGAGCTGCTCTACGTCTGATGCAGAGTGTGAGGAGCAGAGAGATGACATGGAGTTTGAGAGGTTACCTATCACCGAGGGTGTGGTTAGAGAGAAGAACTCAAGGGTTGGTACAGACAGCCAATCACTGTCATCTCCTGTACGACACTGCTCAGCCATGGCCTGTAACAGCTTCACAAAGTGATCCGATGTACCTCGGATCTCAGATTTCTGGAAATATAAAAGTGGGAATTAAAGAGAAAAGTTGAAATCAGGTGCCAAGAAACACTGCAAGAGGAAATCATTAATCACTTATTTAAATAATTGCAAACAATGAAGATAATTACAATAATTGTGTCTTCTATAGCACCGGTATAGCTGAGCTAAAAATACAGTCCAATTCAAATAAATCAGTCGTAAAAGATGTACTACTAGTACTACTAGTACTTCCTGCCGTCGAAAGTTTTAAAGAAAAATGCCACTCCGTGTGACATCAAAACTTGGTCGATGGGATTAAAATGTGTTGTGGATACCTTATATGGTGATAATAATTTATAGTTTCTTCTATGTAGCTTAATGTATGCATGTTACTCACCTGTGGAAACTGACTGCTGAAGCGCCACAAGCCTCCAAAGCCAATGCCTGTGAAAAAAGGGAAAAAAAGGAAAAACTTGTAAAACTTGAAACATGTATTAGTTAAACGAAAGAACTTTAAACTACTGACCTCATACAAACAACTTTAACAAAAATCATCTGTTCAGAAGTTTTGAAAAAAGTATGTATAATAAAAATGATTATTTCCTAGCACCACTCCGTCATTTCCTTATCCATTCCCCCTCGGCTCTGTGACATCACAGCCCATTCCATCCTTTTTCTAGAGCCTACCCCATCCCACAATCCAATTACTAAACCCCTTCTGGACCCCAATGCTCCCCCTTCACAGTATCAGACCCCTTTACATTCTCCCATTCATCAACCCTCATCCAACTGCATTACACTCTTCTTACAAACATCATGCAGCATACCTTAAAGATTACCAAGCTGTTCCTGGCCAATGCCATGACCCC